GGGGCATTCAGCAAGGCCAGGCCCATTCATCCCCAGAATGGGCCTGGCCTTGCCTGAACTCCAGCAGCTTGGCCTTCCCTGCCCAGGGCCAGGGTGATAAGATGCGTTTGTACTGCAGCTCTGAGGGGGGGAGGCAAGACAGGAGTGGGGGGAGAAAAGGAAGGGAGAGTTGGAGGGAAGGAAGGAAAAAGGGCAGAGGGAGGGAGGAGAGAGAAGCCTGAATGAAGCCCTAAGAGGATCACAACTCTGCCAGAATGGGGCCCACCCACGCTCAAGGCATCTGCAAAAACTAAGGGCACAGGGCATGGGACAATTTTCCTACCATCCCAAGAGGCAGAAAGTGGCAGAGCCAGGATTACAACTCATGGCTTCAGCCCTTGCCCCTCCTGGTCTCAAAGCAGAAACCACTTTCCCAAAATGTGACCCCAAGATACCCCTCCCCGCATTACCAGGAGAGAGGCCTGGTGAAAATGCAGATTCCTGGGTCAGAACTAAAGGGGTGTGGCCCACGACTACGCATGTTGACCCATGCCCTGGTGGCGATCTTGAGCCTGGAACCTGGGAAGCTCTGTGGTTCTTTCCTGGACTTTCTTGTCTGACCTCCCTGCCCCAAGTCCCTGCTGCAGGCAGCTGTTGTTGGAGCTGACTCACACTGCCCCCGGGAACAGGCTCCGGGCCTTTCCCACTCTGGGACTCACTCACCTGCCTCCCAGCCCCCGTGGATCCAGCCTCCCAGCAGCACCCTGGGAGTTGGGGACCCCTCCTTCGGTGTCTCCTCCTCAATCTAATTGTTTACAACATCCTATTTCTTTGTTTCCCAACCTTTCCCTCTTAAACAGGAAACTCCCAGAGGGCTGGAGACTTGTTGGTTTAAACAATACGCCTCTGAAACGCATGACTTCACCTGACCTTCCCACCAACCACAAGTGGCAGGGCCGGGAGAGCTGGACAATGAGGAAACTGAGCCTCAGAGAGATTATGACCTGGCCAAGGCCAAGAAAGAATCAGAACCAGGTTGGAACCCATGTCCAGCTCCACTGTCTAGTTCTTTCTGCTCTGCTTTGCCTCTGATATCTCAAGCAGCCCTGGGAGGCAGGCAGAACAGGGATTATGATCCCATTGCCCAGATAAGGAAAGTGAGGCCCAGAGATGGGCAAAGCCTTCAGCACCATCTTTATCCTGTTCTCACTTCCGGCTGGACTTGGGTCTGAGTCCAAATGTTGACCTTTTCTGTTGACGCCCTCCAGCTGATGGGCACTGCCCAGGGCCCCTCAGCAGGATGGGTCAGAGCTGGGCCTTGGATTCCTAGGCCAAAACCTTCATCCTGGGCTCCTGGACCGGTCCTGGTGCCACTCCGGACCCAGATGCCTTCTCTGAGAGTGGGGACTCACCTCACCTGCCTTGCAGTTGGCTGGAGACTCAGAGAGAGGGAACAGGAAAAGTACCCGGGCACAGTTTAGTCACTATCGCTCTGGACTCTAATCCTCTTGTTAACGCCCAGCCGGGGAAACGAGCAGCCTGGAGAGCGTTTCCCCCAAGAGCAGAGGACGGCAGCCCTGAGCCTGGCCAGCCTGGCCCCGGCCCAGACCAACCCGGCCTGGGTTAAACTGGGAAGGGTGTGGAGCGAGGTGGCCAGGCGGGCATTCCTGAGAGGGGCTTGCCAAGCTACCCTGCAGGTGGGGTCTGGGGGACACTCAAAGCAGGCACAGCTGGTGCCCTGGGTGGCGGGCAAGGGCTGTGGACAGCCCACAGCGGGGGAGAAAAAAAAAAACCAGAACTAATACGTGTCAAACCCTAACTGTGTGTCAGGCCCTCCCCCAGGGGCTCCGTCTCTGCATCAGGTTACGACCTTCATCTCGGACCAGAACGGGCCACAGCCGGGTCTCCTTCCTCCGCTCCCCTCCCCGTGCCAGGGCCCCCTCCAGCCCCAAGGACCACTCCATCCTCGGGCGGCCCAGCCCCACCTCCTCCAGGAAGCCCTCGGGGGCACAGC